TCATAAGCCCGGAAAAGACCCACAACCCTATTAGGGGCTGGAATACTACCATAAGTCATGCAAGCCAACCTGGGGGGTGGTGGATGTTAGGTTGTAAATGGGTCCAGATTAGTTGTAGTTAATTATAAGAGGGCAGAGTAAAATACCACACATCTACAAATGTGAAGACATAAAATCTGATACCTATTTCTGATGTGTTACTTGATTTAAAGGCATCAAGCAAAGTCATGCACAAACTAATAAAGCAATAATCTATTTTAATATAAAAAACTAGAAGTCAGATAAATGAAACAAGGTGTATAATGACTAGAGCAATCTGATCTTCTTTTAAAAGCTCCTATAACTCCTTTGAGAAGGATTTGTAGATAAGTGACTTTGGCGACTCCTAGTGGTGGTGCCATAATTTTCACATCCTTAAAGGAAAAAAGTTAATTTGTCAGCGAGGACCAGCAAGGACCAGTGAGCACACACACACACACACACACACACACACACCTCAGTCAACACGCCATTAATACAAGATTGGACCTTTCAAAGAACACCACTTAAAATAAGTGGTTAAATAATAGTTAAATAATAGGCATGATTAAAATAATGGTTATAAATGACTGGAGTCGATACACACATTAAGCAGACAGGAAACTATGGACAGATTACTGACCGGACTGTCAAAGAGAACAAATGGGGAAACAAAATCAAAATCTGGAAATGTAAACTGGGAAAAACAAAGAGAACAAACACTGGAAAGTGATGTGAGGCGAGTATCTGGCAGCTGGCTTATACGCTGGCTGGTTGATTACACAGATGGCATGCAGGTGAGCGAGAGGAGAGCAGGGGCACAGGTGGTAAGAGAGGGAAACTGGAACAAAGATGGGCTGGGTCTAACTACAGGGAATACAAGGGGTGAAGACAAAGACTGAGATCATGACACTGTCCAGTAAATCTAATCTAAATCTAACCTAAAGGTGCAGTCAGACCAAAGTCCACCCTGTGGAATTTAGTTACATGGAGGGGCCAGGAAACAGTGTGCCAAAGTGTTGACGTATTTCTTTAAAAAGAAACAAAGACCCATAGATGAAAAGTTTTACAAATGTTGTGAGGATTATATTCTACATATCATCGATCACTCTAACAGTGTTTTACTTTACAAAAACTAATACTGTCACATTTTGTTTCTCACTGCTTTGCAGTCATACATCAGTCATCGTCCTCACTGGCCTCGCTTGGGCCAAACACAGCGCGGTGTGTGAAATTCATAAAATTGTGCAACCTCTTGTTTTGAGAAATGGTAACTCAGGGAGCACCCTCAGCGCTGTGAAGCATCCCCCAGTGTTCTCTTGGAGTCTGGTTGAACGCATCAGTCCAGAGGCCCTGAATTGTGGATGAGAGCTATGGCTGTGACTGAGCAGAATCTGGTCTTCATTTCTGTAACTGAATATGCATGCTTGTCTCAGATACTCCCCCTTTCCCTCCTTGACGCTTTTCTTTCCAGCCCTTACTTTATCATTTCTCCTTTTCCCCTCCATCCTTTTCACAGTAGCTCCATTTTTCATCTTCCCTCCCTCCATCTTTCCCCTCTCCCTCCTTACATTAGTCCTACCTCCTTCTATCCTCCCTCACATCTCATTTACCAGGATTGTTCTGCAGTTGATTAGTGCTGCTGGATGTTTCTGTTTCCACTGCTGCACCCCGTCTCAGCAGATGTGTATAAACAGGCCCTAAGGCAATGTTGCTGCTAATAAGGATCCAGTGTGTGTGTACAGAAATGAGGAGATGCTGCTAGCTCCCACTCAACACACACATAGAGGGGATTCATCAGCGACTCCAAGGCCAGGAGGAAGCCTCAGTGCTGGGGTGGATAATGAGGCAGCCAGGCCTCTGAGACTCAGCCTGGATCTCCTAGGAAAACATTTTGGTGAAACCCTCATGTTTTTCCCCTTGTATGAGTAACAGTATGGAAAACATTCTTCCAATTAGGATCCTAGTAGCTTCTGTAACAAACGGTGGCTCACTTGACTGCAGCAGGTTACCTGGCACTGGCCGTGTCCTAGCTAAAGCTATCAAACAGAAACTAGCATTCAGGTTAACTTTACTTGTTAGGCTAAATCAGCTGTCCAGCAGGAAACAGGTGACTTTGGCATCGTTCTGGAAACATCTGTCCCTCATCAAGGATTCCCATCTGGGAAAGGCCACACCAGTGTTTATCCTCATCTCATGCCGTTGCCTGTCCTGTCTCTTTGCGTCTTTGCTTCCTTGACGACAGGGACTCACACTGTCTTCCTTTCTCTTGTGTTAAAGTATAACAATGATCCTCCAAGTCAAATTATACTTAGTAAACCTGTGACAATGCTTCCTCTTGTTTCTAACATTACTTCTTCATCTTCCAAGCATCTCCAAATCCAAGCTGCTACTTTTGTCCGTTCTGTGCTACGGTAAAATACATTGCGGCTCGACATGGTGACCTCTGTGACAGGGGACCTATGCAGATATAAAAGGCCTATTCTAAGCTAAAGAAAACACAATGATTCTTATTTTTGTGGTGATTACACATTGATGAAAACACAATTACACATACTATAGCCTGTTTCTGCTAATAAATCCTTCTAAATCTTACACACTGCAGCTTTAATTGGGTGCAGTATAACAATGGATTTGTGCATAGTGATAAAGGTGATGTTTGAGAGTAAGAGCACAAAAACCCGACAATCATTTCATCCCACAAACTGCACACACTCTCGTTCACACACACGAAGAGGGTTTACTCCAGACACGACTGAGCTTCCACGGGACTTGGACAAAGGTTGTTCCCTGCGTCCGTTTTATAGATGCCCTGCAACACCAAGTCAAATACAGGCTGGAAGAATTTTTATAAAGGGTGTGCGTGAGTGGAATTTTTCAAGCTCAAATGACAGAGACGGATGTGAATGAGTTTTAGTGCAGTTTCGTGCTTCAGAGCCTCCCACTGAAATTTTCTAAGGCCTCACTGTGATTTCTAATTTTCTCCAGCTGTAAGATAGATATAACTGTGCTCTTGCACTCAGGATCACTTTTCTTCTCTTCCTCAACTGCTATTCATCCTACTTGTCTTCCTCCTCCTCCTCCCACAGGCTGGAACAGGCAAAAAGAGTAAGTGAGGACAGAACAGAGCTACATGCTGTTCTTGTTTGCCTTTTCCAGATCGCCCTGCTGCTCACCCTGGTGCTAGTGGGACTTTGCACTTCCCCTCATCATTTCATTTTCAGATCCTGTTGCATTGCATATACATACATCATATACACACAGGCGAGGCTGCTATAGAAGCCCCAGTTTACATTTTCCACACTGTAACGGCTGCTTTGTTTGTTTTTTGAGGAGGACAATACCAAGTCTGAATAAAAAGAGAACAGTAGTGGTAACTGATCAGTCTTATGAACATACTGTCCACAGTGTGGAGACTTATGAGTCTCTGTGTACATTTATATATACACTAAAATGAACTAAAAGAAACAGGTGTGGGTTTACTGGTTACAAGCCTATGTTGGTTTTGGGTTTGAATATGCACGATACAATAATAACTATAACTTTACAGTGCTGCCATGAGTGAATCTGCTCTGTAACATTACATAAATGAAATACCAAATCACCTGAAACAGTCATCTTAATGTTCTGTTCAACGACCTGCTTCAAAATGAAAGCATCCGACAAAACATCAATACATTTGGACTTGACACCTTCAATGCATCAAAGTACTATAAATGAGAACCAAACCAAACAAATTACACCTGAATACGAAGCTATAAGAGCCGTCGCACTTATGCAGCACAACAGCTTGGCTCTCAGCTGGCGTTTCAACGCCCTCCTCTCCTCTCCAAGTGCACGAAGTGCTGCAACAATGCTGCCCCCTTGTGCAACTTAAAGTGTTTGGTGTCAGAACACAGCAAGAGGAAAACGACACAATCAAAAACTAGCTGAATATTTTAAAACTTTAATATACAGCGCTTCATAAATCATTACTAAAAACACAGGTGGTAAAAATCAAATCGAAACAAATAAGTTACACTGTAGTAAAAAGCACTGGAGACTCCTTTCCATTGTCATCATTTAGTGTGAACCCCATATGAAAATAGCATAGAAAGTATGCAAACATAGAATTTCATTCATATATATTTTCTAATCTTTAGCTAAATAATCCTTTTGTCCCCTTAAAATTCCCATAACCAAGTGGATGAAATAAAAGGTTTAGTTGGGTTTCATCTGTAACTTTGCTTTTTCACCTTTTTCCTGATGTCTTCCCCCGGTGAGAACCTCAAATAAAAACAAAATATAAATTAACATACCAAACGTTAACAGTCTGCAAACCATTTTTCCACCATTGACTGGCATACAGTTAAACATCTGACCTCCGAGCACTCACACACACACACACTTTTAGCAGTACATCCACTCACTGACACAGATACAAACACACACAGTCTGTGCATAGACCCAGGTTTAACTTGTGGAATAACTGGTAACTGGAGCCATTTATCCCCACCGTGGTTTGTCCTTTAAAGGAAAATAACCCTTTAACCCATTTGCTACTACAGCAACAGAAGCTGGCTCCAGGCCGAAGGGCTTAACATAGAGATATGCAGCGAGAGACAGATCCAAACATGCCGTTTCCATAGTCCAATTCACTGCCTCCTATCAGCAACAAGGTAAACAAAAAAGGCAACATAGATACACACTGCAGGGTTAGACTGATGAAAATACTGAGCCGATATCGGTCTTATATAACAGTCCATCTCAGATGTTATGAATTCTTCTCTACCCACCACTATGTATGTATATATGTATATACACACACAGTCAAAATTGAATTTAAATTTTACTATATTTGCTAATTTTTTCCATTTAATTATTTAATAGATTCCCCTACACTTACATAAGCGGTGTCATGCCGTCCTTCAGTAAGTGCCAGCTCATACAGTCCAAGTTTCAACAGAGCGTGTTACTGTTGTCATGACCTAAATGCATTTTTAGACACTTTTCCATGCAGGCAAAAGAGAAAATCAATATTATTAAACTCTCTGGTTTCAATTTAGAGACATCAGATATCAGCAGTGGCTTTAGTGTGAAAATGAGCGATGTTAAGAGAATCCACTGTAAAAGCCTGCAAAGTATGACTTGTGGAAAAGAAGACTTCTGTCTCTTGCTGCCTGTTTGTTGATGATAATTTACCGATATTTGGCTCTAAAAGCAAAACCAAACAAAAAAAAAAAAAAAAAAACCACTTTTCTTCTGTCTCACTCCAACTTGTAATATCTGGGTTAAGTATAGTTTACACTATAAGAAATGCTTCACTCTCACTTCTTAAATAATTTATTATCAACAACAGTGTGCAGAAATTCTTTAAAGAACCAAACACCCTGCCTTAAGTATCTAGAAACAGGGCAAATGTTATGTGTGTCTGGTTCCAAAAACAAAAATTTAATTACAATGTCTCACTGAAACCTGCAAAATATGCGTTAAGTTTGGTTTGGAGTAGAAAATGTGTCTGCTTTTCTTAATGCCAGTAAATAATCTTTATCTGTGAATTAGTCAAGAGATAAAACTAGAGGAGTAGACACAAGTTAGCTAGTCCTGCAATAACCTGCGACATTTGAGTTAAGTATGGTTGATGGTAAAGACAGTTTCCTCCTCTTTTGACACCTGTCTGTTACAGTCTGAGAGGTGTAAAACACTAAACACTGCCTGAAATGTCAAAGCAAATAATATAGATGCTGATTTCTGGTTCAGCGTACGAGGAGTAAACAGACCTCCCATAAAAACTTTATTATTATTATCAAGAATAAAGTAAACTCTGGTTAAAATTTCAGGTTAGTAAGCATAAACATATGCATCTATTCTAAAGATATTTCCAAATGTGTCTTTAAATACTTTGTGCTGTTTATTGTCTTTCCTGCATGTGTCTCTCCAGAGACCTGCCGTTTCAGTCCGAGTTACTGCCTCCTATCAGTTACAGGGTTGACAGTGCAGCCGCTCGTCAGCGTGACACAAAGACTGGGGAGGGAGGGACAGGGGGGCTTGGACACTGGTAACGGGAGTGGGGGGGTAACTTCTTCTATTGCACATACATTTCTGCCTTTTCTTCATTTCTGGTTTAAAAAACAACAACAACAAAAAAACAAAACAACAACACAAAACTCACAGTTATAAACAGGCAGCAAGTAGTATTATTTTTGTTTTTTGTTAAAAAAAAAAAAAAAGAGAAGTACAGAAAAAGCACTCAGTTAAATTGCAGCCAAAAACCAGGATATAATAATATTATTCATAATCATCAAGAATATTCACAACAACAACAACAGCAACAGCCATATACAGCTATACAGGCAGAAAAAGTAACATTTACCTGTATGCATATTTATATAAAAAAAAAAAACAACAGTGTAAAATTGATTGTCATTTCAAGATAAAAAGCATCAAAACATCCAAGGCATCAACAGTGAGGAACAGACTAGGAACTGTAAAAAGGGGGGATTCACAGAACTAAAGCCCAAATGAACAACGCTCACAGAGAGGAGCAACCCTTTCAGTGCACATCATGCATCTGAGAAAGCTTTTGGCAGCCTTGAGCGCAGAAGAGCTTTCGAAACAGAAACAGTTTGCCTGTGCCGTCCGTCCATCTTGGAGGAGTGAAACAGCGTTACCCTGGGTTCATTTAACTTGCTGTACACTCCCCGCTGTCAGAGTTCAGTGCTCATAGTTCAACTGTTGCCGGACAATCGGGGTGCAGCTTAAGCAAGCGCATGCTGTGGCTCATCGACACAGAAAAAAGGAGTCCAACAAGTTCCACGTGTGTCAAATGAAGCGGGGTGAGAAGCAAAGTGCTGAGGAAGGCCTGGCGTGGAGAGCAGGACAGTGCCGACAGGAGCGGCATGGCTTTGATTTGACCAAGCCCTGTGACCAAGAGAGGTATCATGAAGAACTTTTCCAGCAGAGTAAAGGGGTGTCGGTGAGTTCTGGAAAGCACGCACACACACACACACACTCTCTCACTCAGCCCATGCATTCACACACAAACACATACACAGGAGTAATTTGTCCCTGAATGTGTCAAGCAACGGAAGTGTTCTTGTTCCACAAAATGTACAGGAAGTTCGCCGGAGGGATTCTTCTTTTGTGTGTGTGTGTGTGTGTGTGTGTGTGTGTGTGTGTGTGTGTGTGTGTTGTAATTTCCTCTTCCCAGAGAACACGCCACTGTACAGTCAGGGTGCGGCCTTCCCCTTACTGCCAGTCCTCATCGTCCTCGTCCTCACCATCTGACGAGTCGTCGTTGGTGCTGTCCCCACCCGCCTGTCGTGTCCCGTTCTGCTGCCGAGCAGCCAGGATGGCTGCAGCCTCGGCTGCCGCCCTTTTCGCCCCTCGTTCCTCCGCTTCTTTCAGGCGCAGTGCTGCAGCCTTCTTCTCCTGCTCGGCGTGGCTCTTCATGTGGGCGCTGCGGCTCTTCACCTTATAGAAGATCCTATAGGACATGAGACAGAGGAGGTCAGACAGGTCTTTTGCTGAAAGGTTATAACTAAAAGTGGGCTTAAAAAAAAAAAAAACAAAAGCAAAAAGATCATTATTTGTTGATGGAGTCTGTTCACCTGATGATTTAGCCAACATAGCTACACACATCTCCAGCCTGTGCAGGGGTCTAATCAGTAGGGCTGTGGCCACATTCCCTTCATTCATTTAAAGTTGCATTAACTAAGATTTAGAACAAATTCAGATAAATCAAGTAAAAAAAGAGTCTTCTCACTGCTGTACTAAACCCCCCACCCCACTATCTTCAGGCCTTGTTTATTTCACTTATCTGAGAAGCCTTCAGACTTTGTTACTCAAACTCAAATTTCTGGATCATAATACACAGCCTGCACCATTTTCCTCAATCCGCTTCAGATTATTTTTTATAAGCCTGTGTAATTCCTGAAATGACTGCAGGCAAAGTGGTGTTGGATTTCCTGTAGGATTAGTTATCAGGCTGTGTAGCGGTGGATAATATATAATGAGCGCACCTTGAGCAGGCCACGTATTTAAAGAGTGAACAAGTCACTGGGTAGAGTTGCAGTGACGAGAGGCGCAATGTGCTGCTTCTACTCTGTGTTTCAGTTGCTAGGACACAGTTGGCAATAACAGGTCCGGTGCTGCCAGAGGACGAGCTGTTATTTAATCAAAGCATGACAGGATGATTTGATTTCTTCAAACAGACACCATGAGACACTTGCCTCTATTTACCAGTGTATAGTTCCAAATGGGCAATGGGCAGTAGCAATATTTCCTGCAGAAATCTGAATTTTAAATCTAGCTTGTTTAGTCTAAGGCCACTTCTGTAGGTCAAGCTGCCTGCTGCTGTCAACTTTGCATAACTAAACATAGCTGTGCCGACATTTCCATCACAACTGCTGTGACATTTCTGATCACTGACCTGCCACATTTCTTGCAGGGGAACTCTCCCTCCTGGCCGGCTGAACCTTTGCTGCCCGTTGAAGGGCTCGCCCGGCATGTGTTGCTGTCATAGCGCAGTTTGGAACTGGGAGGAGGTGGATGAGGAGGGTGGATGACCCGAGACAGTGGCTGGTCCCTTCCCCTGTCCTCCTGGCCTTTTATGATCAGGACGGTCCCAGACTGCACGCACAGTAAAAGACAGTGTAGTTGACATTAAAGCTCCAACAATGTTTAACATAGCGACAGAGCACCAAGGAAAGAAAACAATGAGCCTGAAGCTGCTTTACGAGCACCTTTTATGTAGCACAGCGTTGCAGTGGTATGCAAGATGTGCCAGTATACAAACACATGAGCGCACGGTTTACACAGAACACAGCTTCATATGAAGCCTGGCAGTTTTGTCGACAACTCGTGTACTCAGTGGTGAAATGCACTGCAAATTACAAAGACAAAGGTTTTGTGTGCAGTCACTGTTTGCTGACCCACATAATGGGGTTAGAAAATGCAGGGACACCAGCCAAGTTCACTCTAAATCAGGGGTGCCCTCGGAGGGCCAAAATGAAAATGCATTACTGGGCTGAGGGCCGGGTGGGGGTGGGGGGTTCTGGTGCACTTTCTGATTGAAATGTGTTTATTATAAAAGGTATTTAACATTTCACTCTTTGTACAAAGAACAGGAAACAAATACAAAGCAAATGAATCTTTATTTAGCCACAAATTATGTCCAAATGCATGTCCATATTAACAGCAAACAGCAGCAGTTTGACACTATTAGTGAGACACATGAAGCTGGTCTTTGGCTTTGACCAGCCTCTCAATGTCAGGCTGAAGCTGACTAACTGAGGGTGAGAACGTCCTGCAGGTGTAGATCAGTCAGAGTGCTTCTGAGCCTGGTTTTGTTAAGGTTCATTACACTGAAAGTCTGTTCACAAATGTAGGTGCTGCCAAACAGAGATAACATCACCTGTGCATGCTTCCTAATGTTTGGGTACCGTTCTGGTGAGAC